TATCAAACCATAATTTTTTCCCCTCACAGTTTGGCTTATTGACAACAGCCGATACTAATGTAGAGGAAATATAGAGTTGCTACCTGGGATAAAGGCTGCATGGCCTGAAGAGCAATTTTCAACTTGGCTAGGTTTTAGTATTTAAGTTCATTCTGATTTGAATTACAATGGCTGCTTGTCACTCGGCCTTCGGCCAGCTCCTTGCAGCTGGGTTTTCATACTCAACAAAGACTGTTACATACATTAGTAAATGTAAACAATTGTCCAACCTGGACACTCTTGTTCTCATGCACCAGCTCCCACGCTTAATCAGCTAAACAGTAATCACAGCACATTGGATTACACTTGTACAAAGACCTATCGTTGTCGTGGTCAAATACGTGAGGGTAGAAAATGTGACCTTTCTGTGGGCTTTTACATTGAGATGAAAGTGTGATGGGAAAATTTGGCACATGATTTTCTTTTCAGTTGAGGTCACACCATAAAACCCACTACTAATGTAGCAGGAATGAAAACCCCCCCTCCACTGACCAAGGCATCACTCACTAAGGTAAAAAAAAGGTTACAAACTACAAGGGTATAGACATAGCAGTGTACTGATGAAGTTTTAGAGGCACAGAACATGCTGTTGTCACAGCCTCTGGCATTGACACTCTTGCTGCCTCTAGTGGACAATGCAGGTAAACAAAGTCAAACTCTGGGATGTCAAGGCATGCACATTAAATATGTCACCTCACAGACTGGGGCGTCACTCACTAAGGTACAGCATTACCAGGAATTGTAAAGTGAGTTATCTTTGAGTGTCTGGGGAAAAAATCAGAGGCACAGGACTTTTCCATGTCAAAACAACTATTGGTGTTGATTGGGTGCTGACATTCTGAGTTGTCCAACTTGAAGGTTCACACAAAAGATTTAATAAAAGAGTGTTTATTAGTGGTGCATTCTAATTTATGTGAAAGGGAAGGTGAAAGTAGTATATGTGGAAGGATCAATGCAAAGGGACAAGTGTATGAGGTGGGGCAATACTGAACAGACTAGAAATTGAGTGGGTGAAAGCCCATTTGCAAGTAGGGATTCCCAAGAGATGGATGCTGTAGGCACAGGTCTAAAGCTTGTATAATAATAATAAACAAAGTGATGAATGGTCACAGGTCAGGTGCCTGCATCACATCATGCAGCCTGAAGGACTTACAGTTGCAGACAACTAAAGTCAACAAATTGAGTATCTCAGGAACCAGATTTTTTGACGGAAATCTGATGACAGATCTGAAACTGGACAGGCAAAAGGAGCTCAAAAATGGTGTTTTCATGTTATTCCCACGAGTTTTTGGCTGCGCCAAAATTTTGAGCCAATTTTTTTGCATCCTACATTGCCATCTCAGCCAGTCTCTCAAAAAAATCCTGCTCATCAAGCTCATCCCAATTACTCTCTGCATATCCATCTCTTCTCCTGAATCCTCAGCTTCACTTGCCTCATTTTTCTTGTGCAATGAGGTGACTCTTGAGATCTTGTGATCAGTTCCTCATCATCTCCCTCACTGACAGTCTGACAGCTCTGAGAAAATGATGTCACTGATGGAATGGAAGTCAAAAAAGGGTTATTTTGGAGGCGTGCAAGGTTACAATGTTTTTTACTCTAGGTTTGGGCAGTGTAATAGCAATTTTTTTCAAAGGGGAGGATCTATTTTATTTTTATTTTTTCGGTGGATTGTGATAGTACTCATCAAGATCTATCCAAAAATGACTTTTTCGAGATTTTATCGATTTTTTTGGGCCTGCGCCAAAATTTTGGACCTTTTTTCTGACAAATCTTCACTTTTGGGAAATCGGCTTGTACCATTTGAAAGATCTACTCAATTCCTGCCTATTCTGATGGTTTTCGGACTTTTAAAAAATCCCTACCAGTCTCAATAAATCAATCTATAAATTTGTTGACTTTAGTTGTCCGCAACTGTATTAGTATTGGATATTGGACTGGGAACAGCCTGTGCCTCCAATTTTTTTTAGAGACACTCAAAAATAGATAATCTTACAATACCTGGTGACCTCGTACCTTAGTTAGTGACGCCCCAGCCTGTGAAGCCACATATTGATGTAGGTCCCAAAGTTTGGCTTTGTTTACTGGTGTCATCCACTATGTACTGATGCCAGATGCAGTGACAACAGTGTGTCCTGTGCCTCTAAAATTTGGTCAGTACGCTTACATCTATCTACACTTATGGTATTTAACTTTGTTCTATCTTAGTGAATGATGCCCCAGTCTGTGGAGGAGGAAATTTCTGTCAATAGATGGGTCACATGCCCTCTAAAGACATCATTTGTAAATTATAACATGGAACATAAAGATAATATACATGCAAGTTCACAATTTTCTTGTAAACATGAGTTGTTTTATAATACATGCAGGTCAAGTTACACACACAGGGCAAGTTATACACACAGGTCAAGTCATAATACACACATTTTATTTTTTGTGCAATTTGAACAGCATACATTACATTGAGTGAAAGTAGTATAGTTGGAATCATGACATGATAAAAATGTTGAAATGCTCAGGTTGTTGTGAGCATTCAGGTTGAAGGGGGACCCTCACAAACGCACGAGGTCTTCATACTGTAATTAGCTTCCTAAATATGTAGTCTAATTTGAAATGATTATCATCACATGAGGCACAAAATGATCAATGGAATGATGGAGGAATAACTATGGAGCAATGCATCATTGTTTCTATGAACATGATGAGCTTGGAATTCCAACAAAAAATGAACCTAGGTGGTTGCCTGAGTGGGACTATCCTATAGGAACCCAACCACATCTCCTGGAAACCCCCCCCCCCCCCCCAAGTCCAAGAATTCTCAAAATTGAAGGGCAGAGAAGATATCATAAGACAAGATTGGTAAAAGAAGATCAATTATGACAGCCGTTTTCATAACGATAGGCCAAAAGTTCAAAATTACAGATACAGTCGGACCTCGAATTCTAATCATGTCCACGAAAATCAGCATATATTTCAGGGATGACGAGCACAGTAGATCTACACTGACTGGGCAAAAAGAATGTCCCATCATTTTTTGGACAAAGTTAGTCCTGTAACGCAAGAACCAAACATTTTGAGAACTATAGTCTGGTGTATAAAACATAGCCAAAAAGNGTGTAGATTGTACATACCAAGTCTGGGGATGAACAAG